TTTTCCCCCAAACAAACTCACAAGCTAATTCCATTTCCCACACTCTTCTGAAGTGCTCCATATTACGGAAGTCCTTGCAAATGGGCAATCATGTTTTCTTGCAGAGAGAGAGGCGGGGTGTATAGCCTAAGGAATTCTTGGTGTGGTTTTGTGTTACGCAGAGGCAGAGTCACTGCTGCTGGGAGCCACTGAGCTTCCAGTGCCGGAAGGAAGGCAATGCAGCAGAGTGGGCAGTGACCCACAGAGTGCTCGGAGGGGAGCAGGCAGGATTGGGTGGGAATGTGGGAGACCAGGCCCCAGGCCGGGAGAAGAGGGGCACTGCTGAGGCTGGAGGCAGCCTGAAGGAGCGGATGAAGCCTGCAGAGGGCCTGTTGACAAAGCAATCCCAGCGAGGCTTCCCAGAAATGCTGGCTAAGGGAAAGGAAAGCCAGTTCAGTTTGAGGCGGATTGAGAGTTCAGAGGCAAAGTTTCTCTTTACAAACAGGCTGAGATAGTTCAGAAGCTACTCCAAAGGGTAGATGGTCTGAACCAAACTGACAGCCGGGATGTGGTTCTGTTCCCTTGGACATCTGGACAAGAACAATGTGGACCAACCACCTTGGCCTCTAAGAGGAAGTGGGGACAGACTGGGGGAGCAAGGAGAAGGCGCCCCAGAGAGGCTCAGGCCAGCTTTTGCTCTAAGGAGAGTGAAGGGATGGAGAGCTCAGCAGACCTCTGTAACAAGAACCTTGACAATGCCCCTTCCCTGCACCCCAATGCACACACAGCATGAAGGCACCAGCCAGAGCTGGGAGGACTTGGGTATGTTCTTCCAGTTCTGCTGAGAAGCTACCACTAGCTCTGGGTGAGAGTAACTAGAATATCCAAGGGGAGCAACCCGCAGGGAGAAGGCTTGCTTTAGCTGGCAGCTGAGAGACTCACTGATGGAGCAGCTCCACAGGTCTGGCGTCTGGTGAGGGTGGCAATGGTGGAGGGAGGCTGGACTCGACAGTGAGCCCAGGAGCAAAGGGGTCAGCCCCTCCCCGCCCCCCGCCTGCTTCTCCTGTCCCGTTGGGAAGTCACCATGATTTCAGCTCTGGGACTGCATCCTGGCAACCTAATCCAATCCCACCACTTTCCGAAAGTCCCACCTCCCGACACTGTAAGTGGATGAGCCTCTCCTGGTCCATCAGCTGTGGCCATTCACTCATCAGCATTGAGGCTTTGGAGTTGAGCCATCTGCATGTGCTCAGCCCTCAGCACTCCCATCTTGGGTCTCATCCTCTCTGTAGAAATGCCTGTTTCAGCCAGGTTTTTGAGACTGTCATGAACTAGCCAAGGCAGCCTGACAACATAGAGGAGAGATTTATGTAGTTCAGCTAGGGAGGTTCAAGTTCAAGATCAGGGAGCCCCACTTCTGTGTCCTCTGGGGAGGCCAGTGGATGGCACTGGTGGGGTGGGTGTGGAGGAAGGGTCTCATGCCCAGCAGGAAGCAGAGAATGGCTAGACCCAAACTTGGCTTGGCTGGCTACGAGCAAAGTATTCCTGGCATTGTGACACTGTGCAAGTAGGATCAGCCCTTGGAGTGGGAACCTAGAGTAAGAATTTAAGTGAAAAATCAATGCCAAATGAATACATCCTATTAGGAGTGTCTGTGAGCGAAGGGGAGGAGAGTCGGGGCCTGGGTAAGTAAACAAGAAACCAGAAGCCAGTCTCAGAGTGGGAGCTCACCCCAAGGCCTCTGGCGGTCAGGGCCTGAACTGGCCAAGGGTCGGAATCCAGGAGAAGGCCCCAATCCGGCCTGCCCAAAGGCCTTCCAGTAGAGAGGCTTGGGGGCAGAACTATGTGAAGATGATGGCTACTTCTGGAAGTGCCTGCTGTTACCAGAAATGCCCGGTGGGTTCTTTCCTCAGCTTAGTATAGAAATAAAAAGCCGGGAATCTGTTGCAGAAAGAAAAGTTTATTTGCAGAGGGACCAGGTGAGCAGGGAAGGGAGAAGGAAGGGAAGCACCTCTGAGAGAAGGACGGGAGGTGGGGGGCCTCTCAAAGGAAGGGAGGGAGACACCAAAGGTTTGAGGAAGGCTCTTGGGATTTTAAGCCTTCCTTGACCCCTCCTTGTTGGGCGGGAGCCTAAGGTAAGATGTTCCCCATTGGTGGTCTCCTAATTAATTAGGAAATGGGTGGGCGGTGCTGGTGCCGCCCACCTGAAGGTGTGGCCAAGACCTCAGCAGGCCTGATGGGCTCACCTGCAAGGGAGGTACAGGCCCAAAGTGACCCTCCCAGTCTCCTGGGCTGACTGAGCAGAGAAATCAGGAGGGGGTGTGGAGCCAAGGTCTTTTGGCCCCGCGGTACATGCGGCTTTCTCCCTTACACCCCGTCTCCACTGCCTTGAGAGGCAGGAAAAGGAGAGGGCACTCAGGGCTGTAAGCTTCCAGCAAACAAGCGAGTTCTTCGAGGGCTCCAGGGGTTCCACTGGGGAGGCCAAACCACTGTCAGCTGCTAACTAATCTCCTTGACTGGGGATCTAGACATACACCTGGGGAGAGCTTGTTTTGAATTGTTAAGCCTCGGGGTGACCTGGCCCCTTAGAACCTACAGGAACTCCACAGCAAATTCTCTTAGTGTTTCCCACTTGTCATAGAGAAGAAATGGACAGGACAGAGAGCCAGAGAGGAATGGCTGCAGAACCCCAAGGTCATGGGCAACTCTGGTGAAGCTCCGTTCTATACAGTGCACCAAGCCAATACCACCCTCCTGGAGGCAGGACTGGGGGACTGTGTCACAGCTGGCTTCCCTCCTCCTAACAGGCACATTCTGTTCTCTGTCTTTAAATATGAGAACACTGCTTTAACTTAAAGGACTGTGACAGTAACCCGAGCTAGTGCTAAAGTGTCTTCATGGTCCAAAGACGAACTACTTCAGAAAACCGACAGGTCTGTCCTACATTGCAAACTTCAATAATGCAACGAAAGTAAATGGTCTTGGGTGGGACAGACTGTCTCAAAAGCTGACTCCAAAGTTACCCTAAGTGAGCTGGCAGTTTTGAGAAAGCTCCTTGTCCTACCTGTGGAGTGCTGGACACATAACATGTAAACGCTGACCTTACTAAAAACACCTTTGCTGAGGTGGGGCTTCAGCCATCTTCTGGAAGCATTGAGAATCTTTTGTCTAGGCGGTGAAAAGGGGGATTATTTCCCAACAAGAAAATAACCAGCTGGGTCTGAAGATTGGCTTCTAGCAGCTTGCTCTGGCTTTAAAGGGAAAGCCACGGGAGTTTTGTCAACATTCACGCTTCTAAGAAAGGGAAGGGGGAAGTGGGAAACCCTGAAGATGCAGCCTCCTGTTCCCTCCTTGGTGACAGGGGGAGCAAGCACACCCAAGCGGGGTGCAAAGTGCTCCGTCCGATCCCCAGCCCCCTCACCCAGTCCGCAGTCACACCTGCTGCCTTCTGACTATTCTGGACCCAACTACCCTTGTCTGGGGGCACTTCGACTCCTCCCCTTCCCCCCCCACCAGCTGCACCCAACAGGCCACTGGAAACCCTCAAGGGGGCACCCCTTCAAGAGGGGAATTCCCAGTAGGAACTTCTGCCGCCCAGGCCAGTTGAAGAAAAGGTCAAAGTAAACCATGAGGCCTGGATAGTCTGGCCTTCAGAAAGAGCTCAAGTTCACTGTTAGCTGGGGAGGGGGACGTTGGAACGCAGGTGTACACACATCATCACTAGAAACCGTAGTTTCGAGGTCTCCTAGCCTTGCCTCCAGCGGCTGCCTGGTGCAAGGGCCAGCCTGGAGGGCATGTCGGCTCCTGCTGGCCACAGTAGAGACCAGGTGACCACAAGACGTTGGCTCCCGCTCTGTGGCTGCGTGATCCCAGAGGCTCAAGAGATCCCCAAATTCAAATCTGGTTGCAGCCCGCACTACCCACTCTTCTTGCGTCCAGTTGGCTCCACCAGCTCAGCCTGGTCCACAGTGGCTGGCTGTCCCGTTTGGTGCCCAAGGGCCTTCCACCACGGCTTGGCACCTGGGGAGCCCGCTGGCGGGAGGAAAGCAAGCCGGCAGGGTGAGACAGAGGCCGCGGTCTCTGCACAGACCCACCTGGCTTGTTCCCGGAGGCAGCGTCACTCACTGACGCTGGGGAGCGCCTCCAGCCCGTCAGCTGCGCGTAGTGCTTGCTCCTCCTGGAGTGGCCCACTGCGCAGCCTTCTCCCAGTCAGGCGGCCCCGTGGCAAATTCTTGTCTTCCCCTCCCCTCGCGCAGGTGCAGGCTGGGGCCCGCCAGGGGCCGCTCCGACCCCCCGGGGGTGCTTCGTCCCTGCCCCGCGCCGGTCTGAGCGCCGTTCCTACTCGAACGGACACCCCTGCGCCCGCCCGCTCACAGGGTCGCTTTCCGGACCGAACTGCAAGCCACAGCTGGCATAGGTCCCCCAGTTAGCCCCGTCCCACCGCGCGGGGTTTCTTCTGTGGCGGCCTCGAGTCCTCGGTTCAGAGAGCAGGGTCCGGGCTGGGGGACACCGTGCGCCCCGGGGACTCCCCGGTCTTGAAGCAGCTGGAGCCCGCGTGCGGTGGGCTCGCGGGGAGGGCGGACACGCGCCCTGCGGGTCCCGGGACCTGCCCTGCCTCAGCGCCGCGCCCGCAGCCCCGGCGGGCGGAGCGAGGACCGTACCCTCCCGGCGCCGCGCGCCTCGCGGCCCTCGGCGTCCCTGGCGACCGCGCCTCTTCCCCCGCGCGCGCCGTGCCGGCCGCAGGCGCCCCTGCCGGAGCCGCGCGCCCGGCCCCCCGGCCCCGGCTCCCCGCGCCGCCCCGCCCCGCCCGCCGGCGCACGCACGCCCGGAAAGCCCCCGCGGCTCCTCCCCGCCCAGGGGCTTTTCTCCGGCCGCCCGGGACTTCTCTCAGAGCGCAGCCGCCTGGCTGAGGCGTGCGGACCGCGGCTTCCCCGGGGCCGCCGGCGGCGAGCTGCGGCGACCTCGGGGCGCGCCCCGCGCCCCCGTCACCCCGGCCCCCGGCCCGCGTCCCGGCCGCCGGCATGGTGCTGCTGGCCGGGCCCGGGCCGGAGGGCGGCGGGGCGCGCTGCGTGTCCCCGCAGCCGCTGAGCCCACCTCGGGGCACGGAGGTCGACGAGGACCTCGGTGACTACGAGGAGTACGAGGACTTCTCGAGTCTGCCCGACACCCGCAGCATCGCTTCGGACGACTCCTTCTATCCTCCTGGGGGCGAGGAGCGCTGCGGCGCCGAGAGCGTGGAGAGCGTCCCGGAGGGAGTCCCGGAGGCGGCCACCATCCTGCGCGCCGCTTGCGCCAACGACGTGGGGCTGCTTCGGGCGCTGGTGCGGCGAGGGCCGCGCGTCGAGGAGGTGCAAGAGACGGACCGCAACGGCCGGGTAAGTGGGCGTCCTTCCCGCAGGGCTTGGGACCCCTTGGCTGCCATGCCGTCCTCCTGTCACTACCTCCAGGGTTGCGCTGTCGCCGTCCGGAGTGCCTTTGCCTCGCTGAAAGCCCTGGCTGGCGTGCCCGTCCCCGGCTGGGGTGCCGGGCGCACCTCCCTTCGCCGTCCCACGCGCATCCCCTTCTCGTTGACAACCGCCGGTCCTGTGCGATGGAGGCGCTCTAGAAGCCGCTCGTGTTGGTTCTCTCCAACCTGGCCTCTCTCCCCGGGTCCCTGGCAGGCGGCTGGCCTTTCCTCCTCCCCGGTGCCCCTGGGCCCCCTGACGCTGCCCTGTCCCCAGCGCACGAGTACGCCTACCGGCTGTGCGCCGACTCGGACGTCCCGGCCCCTTCCGCCCGCTCGGCCGCCAAGCCTGCGCGGTCTCGGGCTCGTTTGCGCCGTCACCGCCGCGAGCCGGGCCTGGGCTAGCAGGAGGGACGAGGGAAGCCGCGGGGCTCTCCCGATGGGGACTCGGAGAAAACAAGCAGAAACCTTTGAAAAGGGAAGGAAAAAGTTGGTTTGGGAAGACTCAGGCCGGGCTCGAGGAGCGCAAACTACCAAACACGTGGCGGGGGAGGGGAGTGCAGAACGGTGGTGACCGGCTGGCCAGTCCCCTGCCTGGCGAGCGGGTGACAGACGTCTCCCCTGATTTGCATTGCCTCCGTGGTCCCGTAGCAGGTGCACGCTTTGCCCAGCGCTCGTCAGGGATGAAGGGTTTGTGATAAGAAGCTCACGGCCAGCACAAGTCATGCGCTTTGACCTGGCTGGGACCCTGCTGACCATACTTTATCTTGGGGGCAAAAGACAGTGGCTTGTCCTCGAGTGAACATGGCCCGGGCCGGGTTTTGACCACCTAGGAGGCTGACTAGTGTGACGAACTGCGGGAGGTGTTTGAACTTGGTGGAGGATGAGTCCTCCAAGTTCAAACAGCGCTGGCTGTGAAGCATCAGTCTAGGAACCCGAAGTGGGTGCCGTGGGGGCGGGGCGGGGCGGGGTGCGAGCGGCTGGCTCCCCGGCACCTCTCCCGGGGCTCCAGGAGCTGCTCCTGCAGCTCTGCTTTCGGTTTCACTTAGAGTTTCCAGGCTCTGTGGTTTCTATGGGAACCTCTGCGCCCCGAAGCAAGTGCGGGGAATCCCCCTGAAGCCCAGCTGCGGTGGGTCTGGATCCTTCCCTGGCCAGGCAGCCGTCTGCAGTGGAGACCCTGCTTGGAAGCACCCTGGGCTTACTCAGCCGGGGTAAGTTTTTGTAGGGACAGAAAATGAAAGTATAGGTCAGCCAGGGTGGGAAGCTGCTGCTAGACTCACAGTGTCTGCCTCAGTTTCTGCCCCTGGAGAATGGGGCCAGTGAGAGCTGGTGGGTCCCTCCTGAGGCTGGGAGCATGGAATGGTTCCACGCACACCATGCTGGGCTCTTTGGCCACCATCTTGTTGGTTATTTTCTCACCTACCACCCCATTGTTTGGAAGAGAAAGCTGTGCAGGCCTGGCTTGGTGCTGTCCCGCTGGGCGGAGCTTTCCTTTTGCCCCGTTAGTCTCCCTTTGTTTCACTGCTTGTCCAATGACGACAGGGGGTTGAGCCTGAGACCCCAGCCTCTTTTATCTTGGGATCAGAAGAAGCAGAGCCCAGTTCTGTGCTTAAAGGGGACAAGGCAGTGGCCTGCCTCCCTCGTGGCTCCTGCGTGCTGCTGAGTGCCCCTGCCGAGAGAATGAAGCATGGCCAGGGCCCGTGCACGGTGGAACGCAGTGCCTGACCTTCAGTGTTTGCTGCACACCTGCTGGGCAGCGTGCCTCTGCTGGTTCCTCCTAGCAATCTTTACCCTTTGTGATAAAACAGCCAGTGCTCCCACACAGACTGGCTGTGAGCAAAGACTTGAAAGATGTGGTCTTGGATGCCAACCATACAAACCCATGAAGGGGGCACTTAAGGAGGGGAATGTGGCCAAGGCTGGTGACAAAGTGAGGCTCTAGGCAGGCAGCGGGGGGACAGGGGGGAGCTGAGGGGCTGCTGGCAGGTACAGTGTGGTGTGGTCAAGGTGTGGCATGGAGAGGAGGGACTGTGGGAACCAAGGCCAGAGAGGCACACCTGGGCCAGGTGAGGAGTGGCTAGCCCAGGGTAGCCAGGTAATAAGTAGGAAATTGGGTAGTAAACTGGTTTCTGCTTGCTGCCACCCAGCCTTGAGGCTCTGTGTGCCTGCCAGGTGGTCACACAGGTTCCAGTTCTAAGGGCCCGGTGTCTCAGCCAGCAGCAGCCGCAGCTGAAGAGGGGCAGCCCAGTAACTGGATACTGAGGGCTAAGATGGGGTACAGGATGGCCTGCAGAAAGAGCAAGTACCTCGGGGGAGAGCATGGATGGCAAGTTTCAAGGCCCTTAGGACCTGGAATGCCCATGGTTAGTGATGGGTCATTAATGACAGAATGCGCAGGCATCTCACAGGGCCCACCCACAGCCAGCTTCCTGGCAGAGAAGTGTCCACAGGCTTTTGACATGGGGCGGGTTGCTGGGTGGGTTGTTCTGTCTGCCCGGTAAGGAGGGGATGCTCAGTGCTCTTGGGGGACTGCATCCCATGTGCCTGGGGTAGGAGAGTATGTTTATCCTGAGACTGGTGGATATGGGATCAAGCTCAGCCTGTGTTTTCCTTCTCAGATGCCAGTCTTCATGGCCTTGCAAGGATCGTGTGGTTTCATTTGCAGCATGTAAATATTTATCAGATAATTCTGCCATGACATAGTTGGTGTGCCCTTGGTTTCTGCTGTAGGCATGAGATTTTGCCCCCTCTGGAGGGGGTACAGTGGAAACTGCTGTCATTCTTGGTCTTTCAGTCCCACCATGGCTTCACCTTTCCTGCCATGGCAGAGAAAACACAGCAAGTAGCTGTTCTGATGGCTGTGGGTGAGCAGTTGGAGTCGAAGCTCTCGAGCTAGAACCAGCCCCGGGTACTGGGCATGGAACAGGCTGTACTTCTCTCTCCAGGGGCTTGTGCTCCTGCAGGTCTGCATGCCTGCAGCAGAGACTGTCCAGCCCTACCACCCTGCCCGGGCTATTGCTGCCAGCCTGCCTGGGCTACTGCTGCCACCCTGCCCGGGCTACTGCTGCCACTCTGCCCAGGCTCCCACTGCCACCCTGCCTCGGCTCCTGCTGCCACCCTGCCTGGGCTACCGCTGCCACCCTACCCAGCTCCCACTGCCACCCTGCCTCGGCTCCTGCTGCACCCTGCCCAGGTTCCCACTGCCACCCTGCCCGGGCTCCCACTGCCACCCTGCCTCGGCTCCTGCTGCCACCCTACCCAGCTCCCGCTGCCACCCTGCCCAGGCTACCGCTGCCACCCTGCCCAGGTTCCCACTGCCACCCTGCCCGGGCTCCCACTGCCACCCTGCCTCGGCTCCTGCTGCCACCCTGCCTGGGTTCCCACTGCCACCCTGCCCGGACTCCCACTGCCACCCTGCCTCGGCTCCTGCTGCCACCCTGCCTGGGCTACCGCTGCCACCCTACCCAGCTCCCACTGCCACCCTGCCCAGGCTCCTGCTGCCACCCTACCCAGTTCCCACTGCCACCCTACCCAGCTCCCACTGCCACCCTACCCAGCTCCCACTGCCACCCTGCCCGGGCTCCCACTGCCACCCTGCCCAGGCTCCCACTGCCACCCTGCCCAGCTCCTGCTGCACACCTACCTGCGGTGTGTCTTGCTGGGGTTTTCAGGGGTTTCAGTGTAAATTTCATAGACTAGTGGCTATGCTCAGGGCTTCATGGTGAAATATCCTTTAGAAATCTATTTTTGCTTGTCTTTCTGAATGCTACTGAAGGATTTATAAACTTTGGAATCAGCTTTCCCTACAAGGAAAATCACATTGTTGGAATGCATGTCGAACCTTCTGCCTTTACCAGCCTTGGTCTCTGTTGCCTGGCTGTGCATAGAGACGGGCTAATTAGTGTAGAAAGCAAATACCCAGGGCCTTGCCAGTTACTATAGGAAGTGGATTCTGGCTCCATGCCATTCTACACTTACTGAGGGTCTGTAGGCACTGCGAGAAGTTGGCTTTGCACTTTGGAAATAAGTTGGGGCTCTTGTTGTGTGCTATAGAAAGGCAGTGAAATGGAGCATGGGGAGAAGACAGAGCTGGGAGTACAAGGGGTGGGGACAGAAGGAGGCCAGAGTGCGGCTAGGCTCGGGGCTGGCGGGCTGGCCAACTTCTGCCGTTTCCTCTGTGACCAGGCAGGACCCCCAGGCCATCTGCAGTCCCGGCCCAGGCGCTTTTTTCTTTTCTTTTCTTTTCTTTTCTTTTCTTTTCTTTTCTTTTCTTTTCTTTTCTTTTCTTTTCTTTTCTTTTCTTTTCTTTTCTCTTCTTTTCTTTTCTTTTCTTTTCTTTTCTTTTCTCTTCTTTTCTTTTCATCAAACATGGATCAACTTATTTAAGGCAGAGTTAGAAGGAGAGGCAAATCTTCTATTTGCAGGTGGCTGCAATCGCTGTGGCAGGTCCATACTGAAACCAGGAACCTGGAACTGCATCCAGAACACCCTTGGGTGGCAGTGTCTCAAGCACTCAGGCCTAGGCACATTATCAGGGAGCTGGATTTGAAGTGGAACAGCCAGGGTTTAAACTAGCACTCCTGTGAGATGATCCCACTGAACCGCAATGCTGTCCCCGTGCCCAGGTGTATCAGCTATGGTCATGGATCAGAGTAGAGGAGCCAAGATACAAACTGACACCCACATGGGATGCTGGCATCACAGGCATTGGCTTGACATGCTATGCCACAACATTGGTCCCTGGAATGTTCTTCAAGAATCCTATCTCAGCTCACTTGAGTGACAGGGGTGGAAGAAGGCTGGGGATTGTTTGCAGTGCTCTGCTGGCAGGACCGGGCAGCCTCTGCCGGTGACTCAGCTCTGCTCCACGTGCACACAGCCTGAGGCAGGCTGGCCCACGCCGGCTGGCTGCAGCAAGGGCAGGGTTCCAAG